ATAGTTAGGAGTCTTTTATGGTTTGTCTCCCTCTCTGATTCTTATCTCCTAGTGTAATGTCTTCATCTCCTGTAACAATAAAGTGTGCCTTTGTAGTGCCACCCAGTCTTGTCCTTGTGACCCTTCTGATGTCTCCTGACTTTTCTAGAGATTGTGCCTAAGATATGACACAGTAGTTGATCACGACTCCTGTATAGCATTTTACTATATGAGACAATTGGATATAAATATCTCATTTGTACACGAGACCATATAAGATGGTCTTATAAAGCAAGTAGTGTTCCTCTCTACATTTTATTGGAGAAGAAAATGAGGCTCAGAGGAGTTAAGTGACTTCTGGAAGGCCACACCTTGATGAAATGACAGACCTGGGCATGGAGCTCAGAGGTTTCCTGGACTCCAAATCTTAGATTCTTCTCCTGACCCCTCTGCTCCCTTTCCTCCTAACCACCTCCAGTCTGTGCCATCTCTGTGCTTCGTCAAGTATCCTGTCTGCCCATAATGGTGATTTCCATTCATGTTTTGTCTCTACTCAGTTATAAGCTCATTGAAACTGAGCACTACCTCTAGTTTGGGTTGTTGATCTCATTTTGTGGCTCATTTTGTAGTCTGTCCATGCTCAGAGAAGGGCTTTCTTGACTCACTCCCTAGTCCTCAAGTACCGAAAGGGTGATGAAGACAGCCTCATGGAGAAAATTTCCAAACTGAACATCCATTCCATCATCAAGAAATCCAACCGCGTTAGCAGTCACCTGAAGCACCTCACTGGCTTTGCTCCACAGGTGAGATTCCCACCCTTGAAGGTTTGGTACATCTTCAGCAATGTTTTGGGGTTTCCACAGGGCAACCTGCATGGTATCGATTGGCATGATTCATCTCTTAGTACCTCTTTCGGTGTTTGCCAGCTGGTGGATGCAGGACCCGGCAGCTGCTATGTATGGGAATCCCCCCTCCCAGCCCTCCACCCTGCCGTGGTGAGCGGCTTACAGTGCGTGCAGAGGCAAATCAGGAGGCCAAATCGGTCACCGAATAATAGTTATTGTGGTTTCAGACACCCATGAGGAGCTTGTGATGTATCTGGGGACACCAAGTCGTAGACATGAAGCTAGAAGGGATTTAAGAGATCACCGTAGTTCGACACAACATGTCACAAATTGAAAAAACGTAAAGGCTGTGAAACTGAGTAATTTGGAAACATCTGAATTGCTGAGGGTGGATCTGGAGTCACCAGGCTTCGTTCTATAGCATGTAGTCAGTATGTAGTCAGTGGGAAGTAGCAGCTAGAAAACAATCAGCTGCTAAGTGTTGCAGTTTGTTCTCTGTATGCTCTAGTACTTAGGAAAACAGGAGTTGCATGAGAGCAAGCTTCATGCTGACGAGATTTAATCTAAGCCTCAAAGAAAGGGGGTAGTTTGGCACAGGGACAGGGCATACCAGGCAAGGGGACAGCTCGAGCCATGGCACTGGTGGTCACTGGGGACAGGAAGAGAGCATCTGACCAGAGCAAAGCATGTCTTCCCATCAGGAGCAGAGCAAGTAAGGTGTGAAGGCAAGAGAGCCCGGGTATATTTTGGAGATCTTTCAAGGTCACATAGAGATGTTTAAATTCAATTCATTATGATTTGGGGAAACATCAAAGGCTTAAAATTTAGACAAAAGGTATTTTTAAGTAAGATTCTTTTGCCAATAGGATAGATTGAGGGAGAATCCAGATCTGCTAACAGCACTTGTTTATTTTGAACAGATCAAAGATGAAGCATTTGAAGAAACAGAAAAGAACTTCCGAATGCAAGAAAGATTGATCAAATCTTTTATCCGGGACCTGTCTCTCTACCTTCAGCATATCCGGGTGAGTGAAGGCAGCACTCTGCTTAGAATCACATAGGGTGTAATTCTGTCCATTTTCCTGCGCGTCAGCATATTATGGGATGCGTGTTGAATAATCTGGACTCAGATGACCACTGTGCCCTGACATACTTGTTCCTGGGAGTCCGGTTGTTTATTTAAGAGGTGACAGCATTTGGAAGATGAGCTTCCGAATGAATCCTAGAGCAGCCCGGCTCCTTCCTTCCTCCCGTGGTCACCAACCTTCCCATCACCTTTTTCTTACTGTCTCCTCTGTCCAGTTATTCGTGAAGCACTTGTCACAGTTCATTTTGTAAAGATCATTTCAAAGATCGAATAATACGATAATGGTTCCCATTGGAGGCACACTTTCTCATAATAATGTTAATTTCCATCAAATTTAGTTGCTGTACGCAAGGCCTCTAAAGTTGTTAGAACCGTGAATAGGTCTGGAGAGCTGGCGGGTCTGAGGAGGTCAGGCGGTTTTTGCTTCATAGTCAGAGGTGGGACTAGACTCCTTTCTGTTTGGGTCTCTCCTTCCCCCATGGGCGTCACAGAATGGTGTTTATGTAAGCATATCATGTACTCTTGTCCCTCACACATGAAAATCTCTTCCTGACAGCTTTCGTAAAAAGAGATCCTCTGCTTTTTTTAAAAAAAAAAAAATTTTTTTTTTAAATTAAGGAAAAGGGTACAAATTCAAAAGGTACCAAAGGAATAAGTAAAAAGTGAAAATAATTCTTCCTCCAACCCGTCTCCTAGGCACCTTCTAGAGACACAGTCTGCATTTATCAGATTCTTCTCTCATCAGAGATAATCGTGTGTGTATGTGTGTATGTGTGGGGGAGAGAGAGAGAGAGAGATACACACTGTTGAGCATCTTGGGTTTTGCACATAATAGTATTTTGGAAGTCATTCTATACCTCTGCACACAGAACTTTTTTTTTTTTAAACAATTGCACCAGTATGTAATGATATGGATGTGCCATAATATACTTAACTTGTCCCCTATTGATGGACATTTATTTGTTGTTGGCAAACGATTAGATATATTGGCACAAGAATATCCTTGTAGATACATCATTTTCTGATCTATGAGAGTATATCTGAAGACCAGAGTACTGGATTTGCTGAGCCAAATCATACAGCATGTAGACATTGTACCAGGGAAGACTCCCTATCAGTAGTGAATGAAATGATTTCCCAATCCCTTACTAACACACAGTGTTACCAAAATCAAAATGTCTCCTCTTTGCAAGATAGGTTAAAAATGCTATTTGCATGTAGTTTAAATTTGCATTCCTTATGAATGAAGTTGAGGATATTTTCCTATCTTTAAGTCATTATATTCCTTTTTCTGTTGATTTGTCTATACTTTGAGGCGCTTATTTATTGATTTGATGATCTTTTTCTTACTGACCTGTAGTACCTCTGTATAGTTGGAGAAAATAGAATAGCCCTTTGTGTATGATAATGGTTTACAACTATTTCTCCCTCAGTTTGTTGACTTTTGAGTTTACTTAAATGTTTTCCTCGTGTAGAAAATTTTTAGGTTTGCATGGTCTGAACTTTTTTATGGCTTCTTAGATCTATGTTATACTTAAAAAGGTCTTTCCTCTTCCAAGGTAATAAGTATCTCCCAGGTTTTAGTATTTTTATTATTTCATTTTTTAAAGTTGAAGTCATTGATCTAGCTGGAATTTAGTGTATAAGATTGAGGTAGGGATCCAGTGTGATTTTTTTTTTTCCACCTGCTTTTCCAATTGTCATAATTTATTAAATAATCCCCATGATTTGAAATGCCCCCTACATTTCCCACATGCCCCTGAATAGCAAAACTCTTTCCCTTCATGTTTTAAGTATATAATTAGGTAAAAATTAGGGTTTATAAAACTTTTTAAGAGCACATTGGCTTAAAGTGAGAGATTTGGCAAAAACAATGTTGATACAACTCCCAAGTGTATTCCCTGGTCTAGGACATTCCCTTACAATTAATTCCTCTACTTTCGATACCCTCCTATTGGGTGTTTTCTCCCCATGTTTTCTAAATGTGTAGCAAGCATATACCTGACTCCCCAGCTCTTAAAAGGACTATTGCCACAGTAGTGCGTGGGCCATAATGGAACATGGACAGCCATTTGATGGGCAGGTCAGTTTGGTTCTGATAGCTAACCAGAAATGAAGGAAGAAGATGTTGAACAGTTTCATCACTGACATAAAGTGAAAAGCCCTGCCAAATAAAATTAGCTGGATCCACTAAGAGAGAGCGAGCTGTCAAGAACATAAGCTGAGGGACATTGACTGTACTTTGGTATCTACATTGACGTGTGGACTACTATTTTGAGACTTCACGACATTTTTTTTTAAAGAATATAAGAGGACATCACGTTTCACATTCATTCTTCCACTCAGGAGGAATTAGGAAGATGACACAATTTATCCTTCTGACAAAACACGATGTCTACACATACAGGCATAGGACTTAAAGACAAGAGATCTGCCAATGTCATAAAATAAAATGTTGTAAAATCAAACCAGTGAATGAGGCACTGATGTATTTTGCTTAGGGACTTCATTTGCCCTTGAAATATATGAATGGAGTTTTGGGTACCTTTAGATTTTATTTGGATTAATAGCGAAATAATGGGTATTCCCCTAACTTAAACTAAAGAAGGTGAGAACCCAGCATTGTTTAAGTAGCCAGAGAAAACAGCCTGGGGTTTAAAACCTGTCAGGATCCGTCCAGAAGAGTTTACTATGCATTCACTTATTTATTCATTTAGTCAGCAAATGATAATTGAGTCAGCGAACAACACAGACAAAAATCCCTGCCCTCCGGGAGTTTACATGTTATTAGGGGGTTGCGGGAGGGGATAGAGACAGTGCCCAAACGTTAGTAAGTTATGTTGTCTGCAGTGACAAAGGACAGAGCAGTCAGGTGCGCCTGAGTGCAGGAAGGGGGTCGTGGCCAGCTGTCTTTGAGATGGTGACAGCATGAGCCGACACTTGTAGGAGAGGTGATCACTCATTATCATCATCCTGCAGGAATCATCTTGACTCAAATTAGGAACATAAAGAAATGCTAAAGAGCCTATAAAACCCCTCACCATTTTTTTCTATAAGTAAGAGTCTTAGGCTTTTCTCTGTTCCTCATAAATCATAGTTTATGAGAATGTGCTTATTTCAAAGCTAAAATACTGCGCTAGAAAGAAAATTTTTAATTATGGACCCCTTTTGTCCCATTCTGCTATCCAGGATGAATGGTGACGGCTAGAAAGTTCTGTCTGACTGCATTTGTTTCTAACCGGCTCTAGGAATCGGCGTGTGTGAAAGTGGTGGCTGCTGTGAGCATGTGGGATGTGTGCATGGAGAAGGGACACAGAGACTTGGAGCAGTTCGAGAAGGTGCATCGCTACATCAGTGACCAGCTCTTCACACATTTCGTAAGTGACTCTTTCTTCCACCCTCTTTTCATAGGGTGGCCTTCTTCCTGGGGTTCTCGGACATCCAGGTTGTGGAAAAGTTAATTCCACAGAAGACATGCCATGTGCATCAGGAATACCAGTCATCCTCTAGCTCTATCCATATTGGGGTTTTATATTCAGAACAATGGCTTTTAATTGGTTAAAAGGACGGGTTGGGCCTCTGTTATTCAAAGAGATTTTTTATAGCTTGTGATCAGTCTAGTTTGAAGAGACAGAGGAAAACTGGGAAATTTCATCTGGTATCACTGTTGACAACTCTGATGAAAGAAAACAACTATAGGAGTACTAACTTAGAAAGGAATATTTAGTAGTTTCGAAGTTAACCAATGGATCTTTGAGATGGCATGTGCTTCCTTATAAAGACAGTACTAAAGGTCAAATTGTTCTGGCAATTCTAAACATAGATGTGGAATTGTTTGATGATGAGGAGAAAGAGATGAGTGGGGTTTGAAGGTTTCTTGGAAATTTTTGGATGGCTTGAGGCTGAAGAAAGCATTTATTCACACTTGGGGAACTTACAGGTGTTCTAACAACAGCATCTTACTAAAAGTAATGTACCAAGTACCTATTTATGTTCTTTATGTGGCAATATCCTGCCCCTCAATGTCTGTCCTTCTAAACAAAGAGAAAACAAAGAGAAAAATCTTTTGAAAAGTAGAAACAGGTGTTAACAAGTAGTTATGATTAGAAAAGGTATTATGGGTGTACAAAAGCTTCTCTACCTCAAGCCATGTAGACCTGTGCACATAGAGGTGATACCGGACAAACTGTCCCATTATCAACTATGGAGTTCAGGTGAGCCCAGCATATTTTGCAGACTCTTTGGCATGTGCATATGATTGGTGAAGGTTTTAAACTGAGAAGTTTTGTAAGATGTGTGAGTCCATCTGGTGCTGGGTAAGTAGAATGCCGTTCGATCTGCATGGGTTTAGCTTGTGTGCTGGGAGCAAAGCAGGTGGTACAGGGTATCACAAATCAGCCTGAAGGGTATTTCAGAGAAGGACAAATATATGCGGTGACGGGTGCGGGTGTTCACTGGACTTACCGTGGTGATGGTTCTGCAATATATACAAATACTGAATCATTATGTTGTATGTACACCTGAACCTGATGTTATGTCTGTTATTTCTCAATTAAAAACCATAAATATGGGATACGGGACAATTGAGCCACGTGGATTTTCTTGTCCCCACAGAAGGAGAGGACAGAGCGGCTTGTCATCTCTCCCCTCAATCAGCTGCTGAGCATGTTCACAGGGCCCCACAAGCTGGTGCAGAAACGCTTCGATAAGCTTCTGGACTTCTACAACTGCACGGAACGGGCAGAGAAGCTAAAGGACAAGAAGACTCTGGAGGAGCTGCAGTCGGCCCGGAACAACTACGAGGCCCTGAACGCGCAGCTGCTGGACGAGCTGCCCAAGTTCCAGCAGTTTGCCCAGGGGCTCTTCACTAACTGCGTACACGGCTACGCCGAGGCCCACTGTGACTTCGTGCGCCGGGCGCTGGAGCAGCTGAAGCCGCTGCTGTCGGTGCGTGTGCGGCGCCGGCGGGCCGGCGGGCCAGCTCTCCCTCCGTCCGGCCGTCCCTCTGTTCGTCCATCCCTCCATCTGCCCCTCTGCCCGTCTCTCCGCCCGTCTGTCCCTCCGTGCATCCCTCCGTCCATCCCTCCGTCCGTCCATCCCTCCGGCCGACCCTCCGTCTTCCCCTCCGCCCGTCCGTCCCTCCGTCTGTCAGTCCATCTGTCCATCATCCCTCTGGCCGACCCTCCGTGTGTCCCTCCACCCGTCCGGCTGACCTTCCGCCCGACCCTCCGTCTGTCCCTCTGCCCGTCCATCCCTCCATCTGTCCCTCCGCCCCTCCCTCCGGCCGACCCTTCGCCCCCCGCCCCCGCGGAGGAGTCTCTGAGGCTCTCCTGGTGTCTTTCTGGGAGTGCGCATTTGGGTTGCTTGAGAAATTCTTCGCACTAGAGATTAAATGGGTCCTTGGTCAAGCCCCTCCGAATTCTCCGTCCCTTGCCGGTGCCTGTGGCTTCTAAGCCCAGCCCCAACCCCTCCCCCCCTGCCCCCGCCGGGTGGCCCGCCTGCGGTCGTGCCCAGTAACCCGCCCAGTAACGGGGAGCTGGGTGACAGGGAGCTGAGCCCGAGCCGCCCGTCAGGCCTGCGGGCTTGCGTCATCTCTCTCCTCTCTCTCTCTCTGCCCTGCCCGCCGACTCCAGTCACTTAAAGTCGCCGGCAGAGAGGGGAACCTTACCACCGTCTTCCATGAGGAGCACAGCAGGGTCCTGCAGCAGCTCCAGGTTTTCACCTTCTTCCCAGAGTCGCTTCCGGCTGCCAGGAAGCCGTTTGAGAGGAAGACCACCGACCGTCCGGCGGCCCGGAAGCCGCTGCTGGGGCTGGTGAGTGGGGGGCCGCACGGGGGGCTTGGGGGAGAGTGGGGACTGTGGGCGGCTCAGGCCCGGCCCGGAGGGGGACTTGCCCCGTGTCCCGGGCAGGCCGCTTAGCCTCCTGCCGTCTCCAGGACCTGGTATCGTGCTTACATCATCGAGCTCTTACCAGGTTCAAATGAGTTCATATGCGTGAAGCACTTAGAAATTACCTGGCACATAGTGAGCACTGTACAGATAAGCTATCATCGCTACCAATGATGCACCCAGCTCTGTCCACAGATGAGCAGCTTCACAGGAGTTTTAATATCTTATAATAATGCCGAATAAAGGTCATGGAGTTCCCTCATCTGTCCCCGGCTCCTTCTCTCAGTATTCCCGTGCATCACGGCTGCTAAGGCTAGGGACTGCCAGTAGCTTTTTCACACTCGATATGCACCTCAAAATACCTTCTGAAAAGCCTTCTCAGATTTTAGTCTGTACAGTGAATGCAGTTCCTGAAGGATTCATATTAATACTTTGACCAGTTAATTAAGGAAACTGATTTAAGGGTATGTCAATTTTGCCAGGCTTCCCCGTGTTGGATCATGTATTGGAAAAGGTAATTATCTGGGGTGCCAGGGTGGCTCAGTCTGCTGGGCATCTGCCTTTGGCTCGGGTTATGAACCCGGGGTCCTAGGATCAGACCCCGAGTCGGGCTCCCCGCTCAGTGGGAATCTGCTTCTCCCTCTCCCTTTGTCTGCCGCTCCCCCTGCTTGTGTGCTCTCACTCGCTCGCTCTCTGTCAAATAAATAAAATCTTTAAAAAAAAAAAAAAAAAGGAGAAAGAAAAGGTAATTATCTGATACATGGCCAAACCGTTCATGGCTGACTGCTTTCTTACCTGGAGTTACATTCTTTTAGAACTCAATTTTTCTGTATTTTGAAAAGTCGAGGCCACAATCGAAAAGGTTATTGATCTCTGTTTACAACATTTTGCTCCATATAATCTCATAGACATTAATTTATATTAGCTTGAAAGGGAAAATCAAATTTATTATTACTTTTATTTTTTATAATTTTTACGAATAGTAATTGTTTTTATAGATGGGGAAGTCAAGATAAAGAAAGTCTCAGTTTTTTCAATTCATATAGCAAAATAGAAGAAGATCTTGTAATATTACTTAGATATTTTGACTCTTTTGGTGGTACTTTTTTTGGAAGATTTTATTTTTAAGTAATCTCTACACCCAGTGTGGGGCTTGAACTCACAACCCCGAGATCAGGAGTCGCGCGCTTTACCATCTGGGCCAGCCAGGAGCCCCACGTGGCACTTTAATCACATTTTTTTGGTCACAAGATAAACAGATGTGAAACTAAGTGTGTGTTAAATTTTCTTAATAGCTACCAAGGCACTAAAACATGAACTAAGATCATGATTTTTACCCAGCCACATGGACTGACTCAGGCACAAAAACATCCAACGGGAGTAGCGAGTGGCTGGCTGTCATTGCCCCCATTTCTGAGACTCAGACTGTGAGTTGGGATTATATATGGCCGCTGGGCTGGTGGCCAGGGAGGGCTTTTGTTGATTGCATCTCTTGTGTTGCCTTTCAGCCAAGTTACATGCTACAGTCGGAAGAACTCCGGGCCTCCCTTCTGGCAAGGTATCCCCCTGAAAAACTCTTCCAAGCAGAACGGAACTTCAATGCAGCTCAAGACTTAGATGTCTCACTTCTGGAAGGTGACCTGGTGGGCGTAATCAAAAAAAAGGACCCCATGGGCAGTCAGAACCGCTGGCTGATTGACAATGGAGGTAGGAATGCTACACCTCAGATTACTCTTAACTCTGAATGAGGAAAAAGTTATTTCTGGCTGTACCCAAATCCTGTCTAGGCCAAAAAAAAAAAAAAAAAGTCTTTGCTTAAAGGGGAAAAATAACCTTACAAGTTCTATCCATCTTGGGAGAGTGTAGTGCCCAAGTCATTACCAAAACAAAACCTGTCTTTGGTTTTGGTTTTATTTGTACAAATTCCAGAGAGGGCTCCATTTCTTACCTTGCAGGATCTTGCCATGCTTTACAGCTCTTCCAGGCCGTGCTTACTGGGGCCTGAGTCCTCTCAACCTGTTCTAAGAGAACCCCAAAATAAGCTGCCCTCTTCCAAGCTCTGTAAATGGGTTTTGAGAGTGTGTGAATTTAAAACCTGTAAGAAAGGATTTTTTGTTTGCTTTTTGAGTTTTTTGTTCCATAATGGTTTTACCTCATGACTGGGAATGATTTTAAAAATAGCTTATAGCTTTTTCTAGTGGGGGGGGGCTTGGGGAGGGTTGTTGGGTACAGAATTTAAAGAAAAGTAACAAGAATAATAATCCATGTAATTTCTCCTCGATTCCAAAAATCCAGAAAGCTCTGAAAAACAAAGGGCTTTTTTTCCAGAACTCATTTGCCAGAACCTTCCCTGATCTGAACTTATTTAGTAGCAAAATCCAAGCAAAGTGTTATGAGGCTGTTTATAATTGTTACTTCTCTCTTTTGATGTGAATAGTCATACATTATAGAAACATTAATGGGTTTAATTTCGAGGCAGTGACCCAGACCCTGCTGGGGATGTCATGCCAAAAACCGTATAGTACTTGATTACTTTTCCCAAATTCAGAAAGTCTGAATTCCAAAATCCATCTGGCCCTCAGCATTTTAAACAAGCATTTTAAATAAGGACTGTGGGCCTATACAATAAACATCTCTGTTCACACTACTGGAATGGAAAATTGTGCCATTCTCATTTTGAAAGTATTTTGTGACTCCCATCACCCCCATCCCTTCCCGCTTACCCAAAAGAATGGAGATTGGCAGTGGGGAAGGAAAGCAAGGATGGAGGGTGATGGGCAGGGGAAACCGCTGATGGGTTCACAGAAGGACTCCTAGTAACGATCCAGGCTCTTCAAGAAGCTGTTCTACCCTTGGGGCTTTTATCTACACCATCCTGGTGAGTGGTGGCAGGAAGCCCACAATATTAGGATCAGCTGTTAGACCCTCTACTCCTCACCATCTGCCCAGGCCCCCCCCCCCCCCCATTCAGCAGATGTAACAGAAGTGTTTTTAGGTACAGAAAACACATTGAAGATGAAGACGGAGATGGCCCTTGCTCGCATGAAGGTTACCTGCTCTGGGTCCCTGCCTTCACAGATACTTCTTTCTTAATAGTATCAAAAAATGTTTCCGTGGATCAAGGATTTCAGTCTTTTATGTTTAAAAGTTTGAGCTGAGGGCCCTCTCTGTCATCATCTTAGGCAATTTATTAAAGTGATCATGTGCTGTGCGTGTGTTGTGTACATACTAACCCCTACAAACCGCTTCCTACCTTGGACTGTTCTCACGATATGCCCACCACGTTCCCAGACCAGAAGCAGAGATTCAAGTGCTCTGGATGGCAAAAGGGCCAGCGGCCATCTCTGAGGGGCAAAATCCCTTTTTCCATCCTCAGTGTATCTGAACACATCCTTAGTTAAGTCTCTCCTAGCCTTTGTTTCCATGATGCAGATATCCTGTTAAATTTTCTTCACATGCTCATTCTCAAACCCAGGGCCATTTTATTACTGTCCCCTTGAATCTCCGCAGGGGCTCACGTCCCTCATGTGTTAGGCGGTCGGTTAGGCCAGGCGGTTAGGCGCTGCCAGGTAGCCACAGAGTTGCGTCTACACCCGCCCACGGTGTCCCCTGGGATTGAGGGTCTCATCTTTTTTGTCCCTAGGCATCTTGTTTTGTGTCTCTCACTACTGACCTAGCTTTTCAACCATAGTTTTTTCTCTGTTGACTCCGCCCGCCATCCCTTCCATTAAAAGCCCTTCGTGTTGATTTTTCCGCCCCGTAGTCAGCACAGGCTTTGTGTACAGCTCCTTCCTGAAGCCCTACAATGCCCGCCGCAGCCAGTCTGACGCCTTCCTTGGCAGCCACTCCTCCACCGAGTCGGAGCCCGGCGGCTCCTCTCCCGGGTTCCCACGGCGGAACTGCAGCAGCACCTTGACCTTCAATCCCAGCAGCATGGCTGTGTCCTTCAGCTCAGGGTCCTGTCAGAAACAGCCTCAAGATGCCACTTCATTGAAGGAACCGGACCAGGAAACTGCCAGTGCATCCTTAAACTTGGGTTGTTCGGAGAGCAGTCCTTCCAGATGCCCCACAGACCCAGATTCCAGCTCCCAGCCCAGGTCATGGGATTTTCCGGAGGCAGCCAGAGACATTCACCAGCCCGCCCCTGCCCTCAGGAGCTCCAGAAACTCGAGGCATCCAGAAACGGTTGGTCACTCCCTACCAGGGCGAAATGGGCAGGGAAAAGACCTCATGAAAGGGTGCACAAGAACGACCCAGTGTCTGGAAGACAAAAATGAAGAACCAGAAAGCAGGGAGGCAGAAGGCAACCAGGTAAGTGCTCCCTGGTCTCGAGTGTTGGGTGGTAGGTGTAGGAGTGGGGGAGTCCGAGGCACGAGTCCAGTCCCAGGGCCTGGGTGGTGATCTGGACTGAGCTCACGGACAAGTCTTAGAAAGCCCACATGGAAACTCGCTCTAAGAGTGAGCACCTCCAGGGCGCCTGGGTGGCTCAGTCATTAAGCGTCTGCCTTCAGCTCAGGTCGTGATCCCAGCGTCCTGGGATCGAGCCCCGCATCCGGCTCCCTGCTCAGCGGGAAGCCTGCTTCTCCCTCTCCCGCTCCCCCTGCTTGTGTTCCCGCTCTCGCAATCTCTCTCTCTCTGTCAAATAAATAAATAAAATCTTAAAAAAAAAAAGAGTGAGCACCTCCACACCTTCTGGGCACTTTTTTTTTTTTAAAGATTATTTATTTGTTTATTTATTTATTTATTAGAGAGTGAGCAGGAGAGAAACAGCGTGAGAGGGGAGAGGGTCAGAGGGAGAAGCAGGCTCCCCGCTGAGCCGGGAGCCCGATGTGGGACTCGATCCCAGGACCCTGG